GGACTGATGAGGAGCAACAGAGACTGTCTCATTCACTGATGATAACTGGGGACAAGATGGAGTATAGGAGATGGTATAGTATGTTACATAGTTGTCACTACTGGGAATAGTCCAGTTCACTGTAATACCAGTGGTTGAGACATTAGATACTGAGAGACTAGTTACTGGACTAGGAACTACAACAGATATCAATTACACTCTCTCAATGATAATAACTCACCATCAAATCTTAACACTGTTACTGTATTATTAACTGAAGGAAGATCTAAATATGAGTACACACTGATGGTATAGACACTCATTGGTAAGAGATTTGATAGTATAATTTCATCTTCACTGGTAGATACTGCATTCCTGGTTACACCTCCAGTAGTATACTCAATGACATATCCATTAGTCTCTGATGAATTGGTCCAGTTCACTTTGATACTAGTAGCATTTAATATAAACCCTCTCACATTAATTGGAGGACCACTAGGAGCTAGAAATGAGACAAAGGTATATCTAGACTACTATTGATTAAAGTATAATCATACCATGTAATATCACAGATTGACTGTAGTTGACTCCTCCAAACATTGCTATACAGGTAACATTAACTGACACTCCCAGTGGATCAGGATAAATCAGTAGTGTGTTGTTGTATGTCAGGACATCAATTGATGTATACATTGAGTTACTCTTCATCACTCCATTCACTAACCAGTAAACATCAGTTGAAGAATTTATATCAGTTGTTGTGAGACAATCAATACGATATTGAGTGTTATTGAGTTGTGTAATGGATGAGACTAGTGTCCAATTGATTGAATTAATAACTAGAAATACATCAACAATGTTACAAGTACATTAAAAGGTGCAGTAGCAGTACCTGGTAAGGTCTGTACACTGATTGCACTACTAGCAGGTCCCAGTAATTGTTGATAGGCTCTGACTGTGAAGCTATAAGTTGTCAGTTCTCTCAGTCCATTCAGTGTGATTATATTATTACCACTTCCCTCCGCCTGTATTGTATGCACAGTATCTGTATCACTAGTGACATTGACTACATATCCATCAATAGCATCAAATGAATCATATGCAGCCCAACTGACAGTGATAGTGGTAGCTGTCTTGTTGACTTCAGTAAGAGAAGAGGGAGCAGTTGCTGGTACTAATAGAAAGAGATACATAGTTATTATTGGTAGTATACATCTAGAAGCATAATGTAGATCAACATTACTTTTAATGGTCAAAGTACGTGTTCTATCAATACCACCACTAGGATTATCCAGTACACACTGATACATTTGATCTCCAGTGGTTGATTGACTGATTGATCCACTACTGACAGTCATTCCATTCCATGTGATATTAATAGTATATTTTACTGTGTTTGTATTACTAACTAGCACAGTACCAGAGCAACTATTACTACCATCATAACAATTAGTGTAATCAGCCAGCACAGTACTACCAATGCTCATACTAATACCATAACGAGTGTATCCAATTTTAGTACAACCGAGTTGGTATTTCTGAGGATATATTGTCATATCAGAAGAAAGATCAGCAACAAAAAATGATTCTATCTGTGCAAAACCTATATATAAATAAAAAAACTAAGTTTAAGAGAGTTATTTAGCATATTTTACTGAATATATTAGCAAAGATGATGTTAGTGTTAGGATCTAAACAATCAGTGGGTAGACAACACTTGTACCAGCCATCACCAGGTGGCCCAAGATAACTTGGAGGATTTATGTGAACACTGAGGTTAGCACCTGGCCCAACAGTACATTGAACATTTGCATTGCTGTCACCATTACAAGGAACTACTCCATTAGGACCAATCCATTGTCCACCATTCACAATAGCACCAGGTAATACACACTCTAGTGAAGTTGATCTGATGCTACTATCTGGAAAATATGATCCATTAGGATAACAGTTTCCATTATACCTCAGGTAGATACCTATAAAAACCTATACAGTTGTTATTATACACATCCAGTGTCTTACCTGAGGAAGGTGAACATTGACTAATAACTTCACTGACACTCAACAAGAAGAGCAAAATCACCAATGATACTGACAATGCCATCTTAACAATAGTAAGATAGTAAATAAAAATTATTAAAACTATAAAATTAGTCTACTGTTACTTTTATCAAATTAATAACAGTTTTTTTTACATAAGTATAGTGCATAAAATGTAAACGTCACCATTAAAACTTGTTTACTTTCCTTAAATATAAGCTCAAAAAATAACTGTGACAAACTATATGCATATCACTTAGGCATTGTATCTCAGACACATGAGTACATGAATATGTTAACATCAAATCAAATAAATCAGGAAACCTGCCCCTTTGTACTGACAGGTTTACAGACTGTATAGACACACCACAGCATAAATATAATCAGAATCATTTGCAGCTTTTCATTCACACCTGGAGATACCAGTAGTGTAAAATATTGCTAGAGTTGTCATTAGAATCAGACCATTGGTACTTGTATTATACAAACAGGAAGAGCAGTTAGATTTTTATATAACAATCATGAACAGTCGAGAAGTTATTACATTAAAAAATCCTCTTGAAGACTCTGAAACAAAATCATTTCAGTTTCATTATATACCTACGGATTCAGCAAAGACCAATACAATATTATTAGCTACATTCTGAAACAAGATCACTTTCATAATCATGCAGGACAGTATTATTGGGTCCCAAGGTGTCCACTGAATGGACAGGTTTGACAGTACATGAACCAGTATGTATGAAGTTTAAGTATTGTAAAAATTCAAAGCTGATTGGAATCAGCTCAAAATTGAAACACAACATAACAACATGTAGCTCTATGCATGTATGAAGGAAATTATAAAAATGAAGAATTCTCATTTTTATTTTTTGTGAAATTTGATCAAGGACCCTGTACTGCAG